ATTATTTGTTGTCTAGTCGCTTTGACAATTGACTATAAAATAAAACAATAACAAAAAATGTTCTACATCTTTTTTGGCATGATCTGTTCTATTCTAAATACTGATCAGTTCACAGTTGGAACAACAACAACCTCTTATTTTACTTGTAGTAGTTTAAGCTAACTTTATATACAATCCTCACCACAGAAGCTCAAGGTACTATACCTAATTTACCTGCCGTCTTAAGCCACTTGGAGAAATTGTCTTTCATCGCGACATGTTCCTCATTCTCCCTCTTTCATTTCCTGTTTCGAGCTCCTGAGAACTTCCTTTTATGTGAGTCCATCGTTAGTCCACTGATCCATGTAAGCAGCACTCACTCCACCTCAAACTGTTCTGTGGCTCTAGAAAGTACACACTGAGGAGTCCATTTTCTTGCCCAGTTTCATTCTTATTGCTGAATTATAAAACCTTACCTTAAATTAGGCAAATTATCCCTACAATGCTTTAGATGTTGTTCTGGTTTCTTTCATGATTTCCTTGATTAGTCCGTAATATAGGCCCACTCCTAGTGTAAATTGTGTAGACCTGTCCCTCCTGGGATGGTTTAAGAGTGTCTTGGCATTTTTCTGTTTGTGAATAATGCCACCCCCAGTGCTCTGCTTCAGTCCTTAACCTGAATATTGGGACATTGTTAGTTACATATTAACATCTTTTAACCTAATTCATGTCACACAGGTTCTGGGGGCAGATCTATCCTCACATGCATTATATATGTTTAATTTGAGTAGAATCTACAGATATGAGGGTGGACTTATTGTGTTGCAGGGTAGTGTTAGCAATGTTATTGTCTGTCTTTCAGTGTGTGGAATCTCTATGATTTCCTGTTGCATTTGTGTTTTCCCCCCAGGTACTCAGCTATCCTCTAATTGTCTAAACCCAAGTTCATCCTTGTTCTTGTTGTTCTGGACTCATGACCTTGAACAGGCTTTGCCGAACACAGACAACAGGTGTGGAGAATTGATATTTGACTGGGATGGTTTAAAGTTTTTCAGCAATGTTGAATGTTTTTTCTAAACTCATTGATGAGTTTTTAGGGGAAATTTAAACACAATGCAACTAACAACATGAGTTGGTTCAAAAATACCCATGTTCTGCTTTTGAACTTGTGGAAGGAAAATACTTCCCCTAATTGCAACATCCTGGAAGAAACAAGTGGATTGAACTTTGTTCTTTTACTTCTGCTCAGCTTTGGAAGAATGAATCAGTGTTCTCATGTAACCTTACCTAAAACTATCTGTTAAAGGGCTAATAGCTTTGTTGCTAATGAAACATCAAACACTAAATGCATTTTAGCTTGTTGTGAGAGTTTACCAGAAGATTATTAATATATTAAATAACTAGAATTGGAAGTTATAGTTAATTAATAGCTCATTCAAATCAAAGGTAAAACTAATTAATTATTACCAGTTGAATGATTATAACTGTAATTTGCTTACTGACCAGAGTTTTTAGCCTCTTACCTAAAAGGTTAGACTCCTGAATCTGGCTGTTAAAATTCAGTTCTTTCACCAATTTAGTAATTTAGGCTATGGCTCTTAGCAACGTTATTAATCACCAACCAACTGAATGTGTCTCTGTTCATTCGGATGCCACTGAAAGAAGAGTGAATCCAGCCTGAGTGAAAAATTGTTCACTGTGTAAAAATAAACACAAAAGACTATGAGTTAAAATACAATGGTACCTTTATTAACTACAATCACACAGTATTATAACTAAGGAGACACTAAACACTACTAAAAATAAACAAAAATAAAGATATAAAAGGGAAAGAGGGGTTTAAAAGTCTGTTCAAAGGCTGAGGGATGTTCCAAGTTTAAAGCTTAATATGTTAGAAGTGTCCTTTTAAAAATAACAGCAGATAAAATGTGAATAAACCCTGACGCAGAGATGTTAACTGCAGTCAAAACAATGAAGTTTCATTCAGTTTTATGGTGAATAATGAATAGAGTCCCAGGAATGCATAAAACAGCAATGAGGCTGAAAGACCTGTTAGCTTATCTGGCCCCAGGGGTTCTGGTTCTGGTCTGGTCCTACTAAAAAAAGAAAGGGTTAGCTCATGATCTAACCTCTGTAACGTTTTCAGCATGAGGTAGCTGGAGCTAAGATGCTGGTAAGTCCACTGCAGCAGTTAGCTCAGAAACACATGACTCGATTCAATCAAACTCTTAAAACCATCAGCAGTTGAATCAGACAGCTTATTCAAATAAAACACCAACACGACTACCTATTCTACCTTGTTGACCCAAGCAGAGCACTTACTCAGCATCAGATGGAAAGGAGAGGGAAGGATGATGTTACTGTTTTAGTTCGGTGGAGTGAAGGCCTTCAGTTCGGTCCTGTTTTCTGCAGGCCCGTCTTCGGTCCCGTCCGTTTGTCCAACAGCAGCTCAAAGAGTTTTGGATCAATCTGATGCAATAGTAAGAGGCGGTTTTGAAAGGGGGTTAATTTTATAACTCAAGGTAGTAAAGGACGTCTCCCGTTTAGCTAAGGTGGTTAAGTTGTAGCCGCAGTCTCCAGCAGCACCTCCTCGGTGCTACACCATCTCTCCGTCTCAGGCAGTCACGGGTCTGACGGCTTCTAATAGCTCCTTTGGGAACAGCGATTGGGGGCCCTGTTGCTAGGCGGTTCGGTTCAGGTTAGCAGAGGAGGTGTTCTGTCAGATGAGCATTCTTCATCAGACCACCACACCCATAGACAAAATACACATGTGCAAAACATCAGATTTGCATTTATCTCTTTAGTTTTGTATTAAAATAGACTTTAAACTACCTCGATGGACATGTATCCCTTTAGTCATGTACAAAAAAAAAAACAATTTAAGGTCAGCTTGCCATACACTTCAAAATACCACCACAAAGTACGTAATTAAATAGTTTTTTTGTACATGACCAAAGGGATACACACCTGTTGAGGTAGTTTAAAGTCTATTTTACATGCAAAATTAAAGAGATAAACTAAAGGGATAAACTAAAGGGATAAACGGGTATTAACTATGAGTTTGCTGGTCTGACCGGATATGCTCATCTGACAGAACAGCCTTGAGCTGGGGAGTGCTAACACTAGGCTTATCTAGGGCCACCGGCAAAATAGGAAGTTGAACAAGAAGTTGAATCTTTTAAGACCTCTGCCAGAGGGGTTGTGTCTTCAGAGAGGAGTATTTCCGCTTACATCAGCAACACTTGATCCCAAAAAGCTTTACGCGGAGGTCTTTGTTAGAGTTAAACTTTGTTAAAGCATTAGTAACTCTGTTGAATTATCACTTAACATAGTTTTATGAATGCAGTGAATATATTTCTGTTCTGCCTCTGTGTCTGATTACAGATACTATAGAATTTTCCCTGTTATAGTCAAACCAGCAGAAACCTTAGAATGGATACGGCCTTTCGTGTGTTTCAATTTATTCAAATGAAACAATTATCTAAATTATGCAGGCCAGTCAAGCACAGATGTTTTCTATTTTATTTTACAACTTCAAAATTAAAACAAAGGTGATACATGCAGGTTTTATGTTATCATATGCAAGTGCACGTATCGAAGACTGGATATCTTCAGAAAAGGTCAGGCACCTGCACCTCTTCTCCATAACACCAGCAAGATCTGAATTTATAATGAACTCCTCAGATGCTGCTCAGAGAAACAGCTAATCTAATTAGCCGTGCAGAAATGTCAGCATGTCTTCACTTAGTGGTCATTACCTTTGCATAGACATGGCTGTGCTAACTCAAATGTGGCACACACACCCATTTCCGAATACACACAAAGTAACCAAAACAGCTGTAGGGAACAGGTGACTAACACAAAGCAAGGTATATGGATTAAAGAAGCTGTCTGTCAGCACAGCTGGCCTTTTACTTGGCAGAGAGCAATGCTCCTTGTCTTACTGGTGGCCTTCTAAGACAGAACTGAGTCCACTGGGAGGGAAGAAGACTTCCTACCCGTCAGACACCTGACAGGGGGTGCTGTGGTGAAACTCTGCTGAGACCCTATTAAACATGTCATACTACTAAGCACTGAAGTGGCCATCAGATGACAAGCTTCCCTCACTTTGGGTCCTACACAATGAGATCAGGCTGCAACTGCTTGAGATATTATACTCTGATTCTAACACAATGGCACTCTTTGATGATACAAACGAGCAGAATTTATGATGCTTCTGTAAAAATTAGTTTATGAAATCACACTACACAGCTACTGCACATTTATAAGAAAACACATTTACAAGCCGTGACAACACTGCCATCCTCAGGCACAGCTTGATTACACATTTCCTACCATGCATGAAGGATAGAGTCATAATAGATTAAAACAAAATGAATAGTCAAATTGTTCTTCTAAAAAAAAACGTTATCACACCCTTTGATTATTTTATGTATTTTATCAATTTCAACCACAAAGTGAAGTCTTTTATGACAAACCAACAAAAAGAAAAAAAAAGTCTTACAATTAAGAATCTGAAAAGTGTGGGCTGCATATGTATTTATCTAAAAACCTTTGCTGCAATCACAGCTGCGGGACTTTTAGGTGTAGGTCTCTATCAGCTTTAAACATAAACACACTGATATTTTTATCCATCATGCTTCTTATCGAATAGCTGGAGCTCAGTCTAACTGGACAAACTGGACAGAGAGTGTTTGTGAATAGCGATTGTCAAGTCTTGCGACAGATTCTCAATGTTAAAAAAGTCAGTGCTTCTAGGGCTCCTTTAACATCTGGACATGCTTTAAAAACGTTTCAAATATGAAGCTTATAGTATTTTGGTCTGCTTATAGTGTTTTCAAGAGTAAATTTTTTCCTTTAGTAATGCCTGGTCCTTGCTCTGTCTCTCTCCCCATTCACCTCTGACTAAAGGCTGATTTATACTCAGAAACCAGGTTGTCTGCGTGTGTCACAGTGAATGCCAAAGTGCCTCTGTCCCTGCCGCAGACACTCTGCTGCACCTCTCCAAAATTGTAGGTGACAGCAGATAGTGCCGCAGACAGGAGGCCTCTGATTGGTCAATTTCACATCCACTCTACACTATGCGTATTTCCTGTTTGGTACGTAATGGCAGAAACTCTGGCTGTAGTGCCATCCACAATGGCTGGCACACCTAGGACACTATCCCAGACACCGTGCAGGATGCTAGTTTGTAGCTCTGTGAGACTGTCTGTTGGTTTGCACCCAAAGCCAAAACATGCAGCGCCACGGCCAGTCTTTTGGGAACACTCACGGATGAACTGTGTGTCGTCTGGCGTTGGATGAGGTGTTGTAGACGGCAAAACCGACACACAGACACCCACAATCCTAGCTAGTTTGGGATTGTCCCTCTTGTGTTGCGGCATGGAATAACATAGCACAAAAACCGTTTAAAAATTGGGCATAAATCACAAATATCTGCGTCATAGCTACGACAAGCTAACTGCGACACACTGCTGCGGGAGCATACACAGCCCTATCCAGTTCCTGCTGCAGAGGTTTTGGGTTGTCACCACCATGTTTCACTATGGAGATGGTACATTTGTTGGATTTTTTTTTAATTATTATTATTTGTTATTTTTCCTGTCATATATTTTCCTGTACATGTATATTTTCAACCTAGCCCCGCTCTAAACATTTTGTTACGTTAGAACTTTTTAAGGTTGTCAGAGTAAATAGGGCTGGATACACTCACACAATCACCTCAAATTTTTATTTGTAAAAAAGTTGAAAACCAGTTATTATTTTCCTTCCATTTCACAATTACATCCTGAAATTTCTTGATGTACTACATTAAATATCAATAAAATATACAGAGATTGGAGGTCACAACACTAAACACAGACTTTCAAGGGTTATAAATACCTTTGTAAGCCATTCTTTACAGCACATATGGAATTAATCATTGATTTTGTTCAATGTGTTTGAATTTCACAATGTTGAAAATGTGTTGCCAGGCAGGGTAACATCTAGCTTTCTCTTTTAGCTATTGCAAATCCAGAGAGATGGATGAGAATCAGGTAGACAGACTCAAGCTTCTCGCCCAAAGTCCTCTGTTTTTGTGTAGAATCAGACGAGCAGCTAAGCATCTCCTTTTAGCAGGTCCCTGTTAGATCAAGGGTGACTGCACTCTTCGATTTGTTCAATGCCAAGTCCTTATTCTGGTGCCTTGAATCTCTGCATTCTGAGCTGCAAGAACAGATCAAACAGCAGAGTTTTTAATCAGTTGTTGATCTGGTGGACTTCATTTTCTGTGATTACTATATTACTGTTAAAGCTTCATTAGTTTTTAGAAGAGCAGTTTTTTAGAATGAACTCTCCTGATAAGGCTGTGGATAGTACAGTGTTACATTACCTATCTGAGTCAGAGTCACAGGACACGGTAAGGTCCTTTCGCAGGTCCTCCTCTGAGTGAAATCTCCTCAGGCTGCTGTTATGGACGGCCTGAGCCACAGAAAAGCTTGTCTTTCCAGAAACACAGGCCTCTATTTCAGAAACGCTCAGCTGGGACTGAAGGAAGAGGTGCAGACAGCTGTCTGAAAGTGCCAGATTGCTCTGCAGGATTCTAAGAAATTGAGGAAATAAACAAATGAGGATCTTCCATATGTGGCATGGCGTGCCGCCTGAGGATGTGAAAACAAACATCCTGTGGTCTGGAGTTGCTGGGAACCAGCACACACCAGTTGGGTTTTGTGAAGTGGTGTGTCAAAAGTAGACTGCTATGTACACAGACATTCTTACTTTTCCAGAAATGTCTGGAGTCCTTTCATCCGATCTGCAACCTGCTGGGCGTTGTTTAGACTAAAAAAAGGGTTTTTGGGTGGAAGCTGTGGTAGTTGTAACCTACAAAACATGGGGAAAAAATAGGAGTCTTTAACAGGTCTGTTCTAACAAAATTTGAAAAATCTTTCATCAGGAAATTTAAAAAATGTCCATGTTTACTTACATTAGGAGTGAATTTGCCTGTAGTTTCTGTCTGAGCCAGACAAACTCGCTATATCTTCTCCTTACTCTTGATGTCTTCTTGGTGAAGGATACACTGTTGGTCTAAATGAGTTTGGTAACACGGTTATTTAACAAAGTAACATACAAACAGAAAAAAGAGAGAAAAGTTGTTTTTTTAACATCAGACTTACATGCAAACAAATCTCATAGTCTATGAAGGCGTGCCAAAAGTCATTCTTTTGTATCCGTGGGTCTCGAACCCAGACACTGATGACCTGCTGCATGGAGAAGGCAGGAGAGACGCTGAACTGAATGAGCTTCATGTAACAAAGAGGAAGGTTTTCATGGGCAGATAGAGGAAGTGCAATGACAGAGAAAAATGGAGACGAAATTCCCGTCTTGCTTCATACAAGAAAATAAAACTTTTAAACTATGTGTGACCACTGAATTTGACGTGACTATTCTTTTTGGTAAAAAAATTAAGTGTTATGTGAGACCTACCTGATTTCCAGTGCCTTTAGTTTCTTCTTTCATTATTCCAAATCCTGAAAAAGATTAAAGGTCAGAAAGCGTAACTCAGACTGATAATGCTGTGCGCAGCATTGTGCTTGTGCCTTTTATTTCCACTTTTACTGCCTTGGAGCAAAGGTTTCCAAACAAAGTCACAAGACAAACACAAGCCCTTACCAGAACTGTCAAGTCAAATCTTTAAGATGCTACTTTGTTTACACCCTACTACAGGGATCTACAACAGTAATCATTTGAACTTTTCAAACTTTTCAAGCTACATCCCCAAACTCTATTTTATATTGATAGGGGTTTTACGTCATCAATCTAATTTAAGTAGTTCTATGTTGTAAAACAAAAGTAAATTGATATGTACATGTCTAAATCTTTTTTTTTTTTTTGTATCTAATAGGCTTCACTCCATCCATCTTATCTGTAGTCAGCTTTCCTATTTCTGCTTAACCCAGCTGCTATTTTTCACTGTGTGGATGACATGCAGAGTCCTTTTAGTTTTTATTAATACATAGCATTTTGCATGTATGCCTAGAAGGTCCTCATGTCTGGAGGCAGTGATGACTTTCCTATTGAATTTTTGATGTGTATGATCAAGGGATAGTCGACAGCTTGTCTCTCGCTCACAATAATTTCATTTCAGAGGATGAAGTAAATGGTTCTCTTTGAGATGTTCAAAGCTTGAAATGTATTAAAACTTAACAATTTTATCAATGATCCATTATGGGGACTGTTGGCCTAGTAGTTAGTTAGAACAGTGCGCTTATGCTCTGAAAAGGTTGCAAGTACCCAGTTCGATCCCCACAGCCTCCACTCTGGGTCCCTAAGTGGTACCCTTAACCCCCCATTTGCACCGCACAATCGCAGCTCACTGCTCCTCAAGGGGATGGGTTACAATGCAGAAGTGAATTTCTCATTGTTAGATTAATGATGTTCAATTATTTTTATCTGGATTTTAAGGAACCTTTAGGATCCACTGTAGTAGAATCTATCGACTAATTGGCTAGCTTGTAAAGCATTACATTTTAATTAATTATCAGAGTAAAGCACACTAGATTAAAAAATATGCCTTATTTCTCATACCTTAAAAATCACATGCAAACTTGTGTCAGTTTGTGAAAAACAATCTTTAATATTAAAAGGTTTTAATGATTTTTAAGAGGCAAATCAATGTGAACATAGAACTGGTGCATTCAAGGCGTTTGAAGAAGGGATGAGGTTATAAAAAGTTTTATTTGCAGATTTCACAGATTCAGGTCAACAGTTACAGCAGATCAGCAGGTGTGTTTAAAGAGGTTTAAGGTTTGGGTTGGTGTCCCATAACAGTCATGGGAGATATGTAAAGTCACATCAGTGCCTTCAGAACACAGTTATCTACTACAAACAGCTGAGTCATTACAGGAGTGACTCAGCTCTGTGTAAATGTATACAGTCTCTAAAATAAAGTGCAATGAAATAAATCTTTTAGGGGATGGTTAAAGTTTAAATGCTCAAAGGGAACAAATGCAATCTATTCTGAATTATTCTGCCAAGATTTCTCAATAGATGAAAGGATCAAATAAGTATTTTTGCAAAATTCTAATGCCTGTAAAAAATAAAAAAACAGCACTGCAACTCCAACACATTACAAATGGCCGATCCGAAGGATGAAAAAAATATCTACTTTTTTTCCAGGAAAAAGTTGGCAGATTTGTAAAATTATCTAATTAGATATAAGAAAGTACAACCTGTGAGAAAGGCTGCAGATTTCTGGATAGGAGAATGTGGGACAGTGGTTTCTATATTCAAAAAAAACAAACCTGGAGGGTCACATAAAGAACACATTTTTAATTCACACCACATATGATGAAAATCCAAAAACACAACAAAAAACAAACAAAAAACCACAAAACTAATAAAAACAAAACAGGTTTACTCTTTAGATCTAAACACAGGCTAAATGTGCACTGAACTGCAGTTAGCTTACTCTGCTAACATTAAACACAACACAAACTTCCGAGGACTTCTTGCTAAACAGGTTTTCAAAACAAAAATCTAACGATATCTTTAAAGCAAAACACGTCCACAGTGACAGAATCTGCTACATAATCTTCCAACAGGAATGCAGCAGCAGGTTAGTTAAAGAATAAAATAAGATAAAAATCAACTATAGTTAGTTTTAGTCTCCATTTCTGTGTCCATATAGGCAGAGACCTTGCTGAGCACCACAGAGCTGGGAGTCATTTAAAACCCCATCACATGCTGAGGATCTCACAGCTGCAAGTCTAAAACCCCACCTGCAGCAAGCCTTTAATGTCAGCTGATGGAGGAGAAACTAAACTTGAGGTGGAAGCGCAGTTGTTTATCAGCAGTCCTCAGTATACAAAAACAGGATTTTTTTTTGTTGTTTCCCTGTTCACTGCTTCTCGTCCCTGCAGTCCCAGGTAAACTTCTGTTCGTAGAAGTCAATGACCACCTGTGGACATCTGGCGCTTGCTTCACGGGCCGACAGCAGGGCCACATCATCGGAGTTCTTCCTGTGGGGAAATAACGAAGAACAGAAAATGCTGATTCAACATTTCACTTTAACAGTCATTCTTGCATTTATGCCTTTTTTTTTTCTTTTTTTTTATGTTTTTAGTCGATTCTCAGCGTGTGTTTATTTGTCTGTAAGTCCGTCTATGTACGGGAAAACTTGAACAGTTATGAACGGATTTTAATACAATTTTTACTAAAGGTGCACCTCAGTCCAAGGAACAATCCATTATATTTTGGTGATGATCCACATAATTTCCAGGAAGTATTCTTTAACATTATTCGGCGGAACAAGAGGGGCTGCACAGTGATGAAGTGGGAAGCACTGCTGCCTTGCAGCAAGAAGGTTCCGGGTTCGATTCCCAGCCGATTTCCGGGGTCTTTCTGCTTTGTTTTCCCTGTGCATGCGTAGGTTCTCTCCGGCTACTCCAGCTTCCCCCCCACGACTGTGTGGTTAATTGGCTTCTCCAAATTCTCCTTGAGGTGTGAGTGTATGTGAATAGTTATTCGTCCTGTTTGTCTCTGTGTTGCCCTGCAATGGACTGGTGACCTGTCCACGCCTCTCGACCATTGTCAGCTGGAGATAGACATTGCCCAGCTTGGATAAAGCGTGACATATATTGGATGGATGGCTAAATGCCGGAACAAGCAGTTCATCCATGAACCAGAGAGTTACAGCAGTGACAATTGACAGCTTCAGCATTTGACTTAAAAAAGTACAGAAGTATTATACTGAAGAAAAAACAAAAACAAACTCAGGACAGGTGAGCCATGCATCACTTGAAGTCTACACCAGAGGCTGCAGACATACGCTGTGCCTTATTTAAAAACTTATGAAATGATTTTAAGGCAACAATTACCAGAGGTGCAACTCATGCCAGGGTTCGATTCATTGAGATTTGGTAATGATCCAGATCATGTGAGTTTTAGCTAAAGGTTTCCTCACAATTTGGGGCAAAATGTGCTGCTTGTTGCTTTTCTAGTTTTCAATAAGATTCTTTAGATATATCACCCAGAGGTATAAATAGGAGGACGGCTCTAAAGGCATGGGCGACAGAATTTCTAAACATGGAAAAGTAAACAATTCAATCTTTTTAAAGTCCAAGTCAATCAACCTCTAAAAATAAGTGTGCTATCAGTAAGAACCTTTGACCTCATTATTAACAGTAGGTCCTGACAACCCAGGGCAATAACAGGAAATAGCTTGAACTCTTAATATGAACAAATCTGTAAACAGGGACACATTTTATGGAATCTAAAGTTTTCCCACCAGGATCCTCAGCTTTCTTTGATGATTATTTTTCTCTCTGGTTCAACCAGCTGATGTCAGCGTCCCTCCAAGTGAGTCAAAAACCGATCAAAATGTACATAAATATATACGGATTCGTCTGTACATTAAATACAAATCAACATGTCTGCCTAAAAGCCAAGTGTGTCATATGAAGGCAGTAAAATGACGCTTTGTGACGTTTACAGTCTTGGAAGGACTGCGAACAGGGCAGGATAGCGAAAGCAGCTTTGCTCTCCCATCAGTTTTATTTGCTTCAAGTATTTTCTTTTTCACAAAAGTTCTTCTACTGCATCAATGGCAGTATATCAAAAGGGGAATGACCAAGAGGAAGTTATGATAAGGCCGAACCAACAGTAGAGTCACACATGATAGGAAGCCAACTGGGAGGAACATAACAGTTGAATGAAATAAAAACACTGAAGCTGGACTGCTGTGGTCAGAAGTGCTTTCTAAAGTCTGCAATGGAGACGAATGTTGAGCTGCTTCCAGCTTTAAGTCAATAACTCCCCCCCTTTACATCACATTAAGACCACTATGTTGCCTCCAGGATCTCCATAAATCATTCATATGTTGCTAAAATTCAGGCACATAAAAAAAACAACTAATGCTTGAGTAAAAGGAAGCGTGACTCCAATGTTTTTAGTTCTTGTTCACCTCTGACCTTTGCTTTCTTGACCATCATTCCACAGCCCTCCTACCTCAGGTATCACATCTACAATGTATTGGATTTCAGGTGTCAAAAAAGAAAAACCTTAATGTAGCAGGAAACTGGAGTAATCCTATCTTTCTCCTCCTTCCACATTTCTAAAAACCAACATGCACGTAACTTGGCTGCCTCACAAACACATTTTGCATTTCAACAGCAACCTAAAAAAACCCAAAAACCTATTTTTATATATTCTCCCAAGATGCTTTCTGTTATGTGCAGCTGTTATGCCTAGGAGCCCAGATACATACAGGTGGCAGCATACACCAATCAGATCTGGAATCCTACAGTTTCAAATGTATTTTTGATATCATGCAAACATTGTTATCAAACATTTGCAATATACATGTAAAAGGAAAGTGAGAAGTTACCATTTGACTAAGAACATGAGCTCTCCCTTTCTGTCCGTGGAGCCAATAATGCATTCAGGCTCGAGGTAATTGCTGAGGTCAGTGGGGGCGTCCGACTCCTCATCATCTGGTTTTAGGACGCTGTTGTTGCTCTGTTGCTGGGATACGTTAAAGAGATAAAGATGGAGCAGCAGTTATAGAAAAACATGGAATAAAGCACCTGTCTGAGTTCTGATCAGGATTCCCAGATTTACTTTTAAAAGTGTTCTCAATTTTAGCCAAACGGATGGATGGATTAACCTTCCTTATGATTCAATTCAATTTTGTTTGTTTATATAGCGCCAATTCACAACAAATGTGCTAAGGCACTTTACAATTTAACCAGATCATACAGTTAAATTGATTCAAAGTTTTCTATCTAAGGAAAACCAGGTGATTGCATCGATTCATTGATGCTTGAAGCGACAGTGGAGAGGAAAAACTCCTTTTTAACAGGAAACAACCTCCAGCAGAACCAAGCTCAGTGTGAGCGGCTATCTACCGAGGCCGACTGGTGTTCAAGGAGACAGAAGCAGAGATACAGAACTCTACACAAAGGGCAAATGAAAACAGATGGACCAGTGATACTGAGAAGTATAGATAGCAAGATTGATAAACTGGTTTCATTTAGAAAATAGGATAGGAAAGTAAATACTATGTTTTGAAAGAAGCCAAAAGAAATATATAAAAGACAAAGGGCTGCTACAAATATTTTAGCTGCTTTCACTTTCAGTTGTGTTGCACATATAAACAGCCTTCTCAAGATTTTTTAGTTTGAAGCTTTAGAAGGAACTATTTCTACTAGACCTCTGCTGATCAGGTTCTTTAAATTCAAGCAAAGCTCCAAATATAAAACAGAGAAGCTGTGTTTTTTTTCCTTAATAAGGAACTAGGAATGGAAACAAAACAGACAAACATTTCCACCAAGTTTTTAATGGAACTCAACTCACAATTTCCGTCTCCTGCTCTGCCATGTCTTCCTTGATGACCTGCTGCTCACTTTGCTCCTCTTCAGCCTCCTTCGATAGATCAGCGTCTCTCAGAAACTCCTGAATGAGCCCGGGACAGTCCAGGTTATCCTCAGGCTCCCACGTGTTATCTGCACTGTGGGTTACACGCAGGAAGGAGGAGGAGGAGTGTGTTTAAGGATTATGGGCACAAACGAAACTAGTAACTGACAGTTTTTCTGCGGTGTCTCTCTCTGACTCACTCGGTGAAGCCTTTCCACTTCAGGAAGTACTCCACTCTGCCATTTAATACTCTACGGCGAATTATTTTCTCCACCACAAACTCTTGGACCACTGAAGTCTCCTCAGTCTTCCTCTGCTTGGCAGTCTGCTTCTTTCTCATTCTGTAATGCACAACAGATAAGTGTTGTTTCTATCAACGCTGGGATATTTGCATAACAACATGGCAGTGATCAAATGCTGCGCGTCCTTCAGACAATAATGATTACAGCGCTCCACATGATGTTTCAATAGTCCTACTTCACTTTAATACATTAGTATTTGTATATATATTGCTTTATGTATGAGCTTATTTCTCAGGCAGCAGCATGAACTCATGTCTGTGTGCAGGACCACATGACACAATGAAGAACAGGGACGTACGCGCTCGGTGTTTACTTATTCTCTGCGGACAGCCGCTCCGCTTCTGATCTGCTTCCGCTTTATGCGAACCGCACGCGAACAGCGCCGACGACGCCGCTTCGTGCGCAAACGGGTCGGTTTGCGCGTTTTATTTGATCGACAACAACTTTTCATGAATGAGTTACAATTAAAGATGGCCGTTGATGCTCAGAGGAAGTGGTTGCCAAGGGAAGAGGTCATACTAGGGAAACCGGGAGGAGACGACGGGGACACGCACACCGCCGACCAATCAGAGAGCAGTCCGCTATGCTCACCCACCTCCCCTCACTCCTACTGTGGTCTGGATCTGCCCTGCCACCCAGGGGTGTCAGCTGGGTACCGCAGGGGGAAAAAATACCAGTCTAACATGGGGGTATAGTTTTATTTTTTATTTTCTTCAAGACTACTTCAGCTTTTTATCTGACATTAAGGTGATGTAGGGTACATCCTGCACTGATCGCAGTACAACACAGGTACATGTACACAGTCCCCCACATCGATTTAGACAAGCCAATTCATCTAAAAAGTAAATAAATAAATAAATATCTTCACACGTCCAATTGAAAGCTGTAAACGCAAAGTTAATTACAATTTGTAATACCTATTTTTTTTTTTGTTAGTACTGAGTAAAGTATGGGATTAAATTAGGTCAAAATTATCTATCTATCTATATATATGTGTGTTTATATATGTATATATATGTATATGTATACTTTGTTCTTCATAAATACAAAGGTTAAATTTCACCCCTTAAATTTACAATTAGAATTCTACCATTTATCAACTCTAAGTTGATTAATTTATAAACGAACTTAGATGTTCCTATTCCTTTGCATGTTTTGTTTTCTCCAATGCCTGTTTCTTTGAGTATTGTAAATTCTTGTTTTCATATATGGTCCTATGGTTCTCTTTGATGAGGTCCCTTCCCTTCAGACTGCTGAAGGCTACTGCTGAATTCACAAAAGTGAAGTATCAAGGAGGTTTGATTGACAGCACACATTTAACCAATGAGAAAAGCCATCAATGCCTATTGGTTCAGACAAGCCCTAACAGCAGCCCACATGCCCAAATCCAAGAACCTTTTTTTTTTTTTTTTTGTCATTCCTTTTGTAAGCTATTAGAGTCTAGAAGTGTAGGTCCTCTATTTCAGCGCTCTGTTTCCTCTGGTATGTCTGAATTTTTGCATTAGACGCTATATCAGCAGTCTGACTGTCAAGCATACTAGTCAAGCTACCTTTTTCAGTTATTGTGGGCAAATATAAAAAGACAAATAGAATAGAATAGAAAAGGAAAGAATAGAATAGAAAATAAAACGTATCATTCATTGTCCCACAGAATGGAAATTAATGTGTCTCAGCCAATGGCAAAGCAAAGAGTAAAATGATAACGATTAGAATACCATAACACTACCATAAAACTATAGAGAGAACAAAATTAAAAAGTTAAGAAGACTACACAGCAAAAGGAAAACAATAAAACTCAAAAAAGAAAAAACAGTTGATATAAATGATCAAAAATTCTCAATATATATATACCGGTATATAAAAAAAAACTTAGCCAAATTACAAACAAACAAACACGGATGAACAAAAGCTCTTCCTATGGAGGATAAAAATCACACAAATAAATGGAATTATATTAAAAATTGTTTTTAATCAGATAGACACTGCAACAAACAGCACTAAAAAGCTGAAAAATCACAAGAAGAGTGAGTTTATTATGTGCATGAGAGAATTTTTGATGTTTCTCAATGAGAAAAACCTCGGCATCCTTGGGATATCACTAAAAATCGCTTAAAAATTCATGAAAAAGCCTAAGAGCTACATGAACTGCTGTGAAAGAAGCTTATTATTAAAAGTCCTGGAAGGACTCATGATTTATTTGCAAATTTTGCCCTAGCAATTTTTTGTTCTCTATTAATACATTTGTATTTCACACACACATACACACACACACACACACACACACGCACATATATATATATATATATATATATATATTAAAAACAAAATATAAAAACATATATATTAAAAACAAGCATTTCTTCAAACGCAACTCTTATTTCCGTAATTTTCCCCATTGCCTCATGAGCTTTGTGTTTTGTCTCATAACCTTCAGGTTAAACCTGAACAATCCCTAAACTAGACAGAGAGAAAATGCATGATGGAATGAGTCTGTCCTCTTTTCATAGCCCTCTCTTGGGCCTTGGAGTTCCTCAAAAACTACAAAAAAACATATAAGTGTCAAAGGACAGTTGCTATATTGGCTAAAAAGCTGTAAAAAACACAATTAGCAAATGGTCAAACAATTGTGACAAACGATTGTTTGGACATTTCTTGGGAGTCCTCCAGGGGTCAGTGTTGGAGCTATTTATTTTCTTTATAAAGGATGTGTGCAATACATTTCAAACAAATTGAGAATTTAGAACAGGTTTTGGAAAAGTATTAGTCCGAAAAATGCATGAACTTGTGAAAATGTTTAATAGAAACAAATGACACCAAAATCTCAATTAAACTAAACTCATTTTATCTAGAAACATTATTATTATTGTAAAGGTGAGGACTGACTTAGGTCATGTAGTTTATATCTTCTGTGTTATAGTACGAGCATATAGGTGCATGTAAAAAAATGAATATTTTCAAAAATCATATTTTTCCTTTTAGAAAGCAAAACCTTAATGTTATGATTCTTTATACAGAGCGTTCGTTGTGTGTATTTTCTGGCTTACTGCCCTCCCTATTTAGGTTACGAGGCTCTACAATCTTAGAGAGAGACTGTAGATTGGGCAAATGTCTAGAGGGCAGTCATGGACAACCACCACTAGAAGTTCTAAAAGGTCCTCACTATAAAAGCTGGCTTTCACAGAGCGTTGCATCAGAGCACATTAATAGAAAGTTCAGTGCTTGGATTGGACTAAGGCTGGAGTCAGCACACGAAGAGCCTACATCCTAAATATGGCCACGGGCTACAAATGTTGCACTCCATACCTCTCTTGAACCTGAGACTGGACTCAGTCACCAATAAACCTCTTTTCAGATTAAAGTAAAATCATTTTATTAGGAAATAAGGCCCTGGAGTCTGGATGAAGGGTGGAGAAGTACAGAAGCCATATTACTTAAAGTCCAGAATGAGGTTTATGAGGACGTTTGTTTAATCAGCAGGACTTGTTACCCTTTTAAACAGCCAAAAAAACTAAAGCTGGTTCAATGACCATGGTAGCATTGTGCTTTGGGTAATGTCAAGAGGAAGATGAGAGACCCCAGGTTCAAGAATGCAGATGAGCTGAAGGCCATTATTAAGGCAACCTGGGCTTCCATTAGACCTCGAGAGGCCGAACGAGAGGCCATTCAACTCCATCCAACACTGTAGTGATGCAGTGAAAGGATATATGATGTGATCTGGGTTAGGTATTAAAATGATTTGAGTAAGAATGTATTTAGCAATGTGATTGTAAATGTAGAGTCATATTTGCTTCTTATTGCTGGAACTTTAAAACAATGTAAGTAGAGAGACTGAAAAGTCATCTGATCTTTATTACCTGATTTAACTGATGGAGCAGTAAAGTTCAATAAATAGCATAATTGATGTACCTAAAGCCATGCTTCTCTTAAATGTTAAGGGACAGAAAATATAATTCATGAGCCAAACTAAATGATTCGGGGAAGGAATCATTTCCATGAACTGATTCTGACGATTTAGTACACTTAAAGGAACAGCTGCTCCCATCACAAGGTACAACCAAGTATTTAGTGCATATAAATGAATGTACTTTCCAGAAGCCTGTCACTTCTAATAAAAAATATATATTTTCTTATTAATATTAATAGAATTGTTTGTTTCATCTCATTGAAATTACGAGAGATAAAGTTTATATCACTGAAGGAGTAATTAATCTGTATAAAATATTAGTTCAACCTCCTGAAATGGTTACATTTAAAGTAAACTGCAAAAAAAACAAAAGAAAAAACTAATGGAGAATGCAGATAAACAGAACCCTGAAGTGATGGGTTTATGTGATGTCACCAAATAAAACTTTGTTTTTGTAATGCTACATATTTTATTTAGCTAATGATAACAGTTATTATTATTATTATTATTATTATTATTATTATTATTATTATTATTATTATTATTATTATTATTATTATTATCATACAGTAGTTATAATGACATGAGCTATATCATAAATTGTAATGCTAATTTCTAACAGTTAATGTTAGACGTTTTTAATGACAACATATTTAATACTAAAACATGCCACTGGTTTTTTTTTTTGGCAGCACAGTAAGATTTATCTTCGTGTCAGACTTACTGCTTTAAAAAAGTAAAGTTTGATTAAAAATGTTTCTTTTAAAAACACTGGATAACACCTAAATATTGTATCTCAAGTGCCTCTTTACAAAAAGTTTTTTTAAGTTTAAAACAGCATCTATTTGACTGTATTTACGTTTTGTTTTTCTTCTCAAAAAATATTACCGTGCATGATGCTTTTATAGACTTAAGAATGAGTTTTTCCAGAAACTGTAGTAGGACATGTGTTGGATATCAGCCATATGAACCCCTGTTGCCCCTTTGAACCCTTCGCTACTCCTCAGAGCTTTTCAGGCAGTTGCTATAGTAATCTAACAGCTAATAGGCTTGAGCTCTTTCTGCAGGCGTAGGAATTGCAGTAATGCATGGAGAAAGGTCCTTTCTGGATTTATTGCTGTCCTACAGTACACATCATTCTAAAATCTCTGCACCAAAGATGAAAACCTGGGGTGGTCCAGCTTCAGGACAAAGAAACATATCCTTGTTTGAGCACTTTTTGCATTAACCACCGTGTTTTATTTCTGTCTGCACTTCTGAAGTTCAAAGTTTTAAAAAGTATCCTGACATGGTTCACAATCTTTACTTTTGTAAAGGAAACTTAATGATAATGAAATGATTTAGATATTTTGGAACAGCAGACTGAACCTTGACCCTGGCTATAAAAATAAAATATAGTTGCTGAAAAAATGACAAGCTCCAGGAAACAGAGTAGAAAGATATATAACTTTCAGACATCATCCCATACAGTCTAGAACAGTACCTCCCAGAAAATGTACATTCCTCTCACCCACTGTGAATATCGCCCCTTTACATATGGGCCTTGAGACTCAACGGAAAACAGTCCAGATGGCAGGGTCCTGCTGTGAGGGTCTCTACA